GCTTCCGCCTGCAGCTTCGTTCGCATGGTGGATAAAAAGTGGCATATGTAGCAAAGTTCTAGCAAATTGGTATATTCGTTTTGACGTGAAAGAATAACAAATATCTATACTTTCCTTCAAACTTTTACATTTACAATATTACTAAGAAGTAGAATAGGATTAGTAGGATCATTGAAACGTATGATATGTATGTCTGCTTTATTCCTTTTTTATAAGGGTTATCATAACATTATATTCTTAAATTAATTGCGTACATGAATTTTTATTCGCTGTTCGAAGAAAGTGCTGCATTATACATGCACACATTGTTACAGGGCTAATTACGGCTAGTTACGTAGTTTCAGCAGTTACGTGCACATTACCGAATAATACGTAATATTTCGAAAGTGTAATAGTTATCGAGTGGCGTTATGCGAACCTGAAACCAAACGTGGAAAATTCACGCTCGGTCGAGCGGCGCGCGCGCACTCGCCGCACCGTGGACATACTGCAGCCATATCAGAGTATTCTTACAGCGGCTCTTTTTATTGTTTGCTCGGGTACAAAATACGTGTCGTTACACTACATGTGAGCAACGCCATAATTAATGTTACACGTTTATGCGCACCCATATTTACCACATGGAGAGCTCTTCGACTTAATTTTAGTCCACACGAATGAATACAACTAAAGCATTGTACTTTTATATTTCAATGAGTAGTATTCAATAAATTGCACACACTTATTGAATTTCTGCCGTTAACGGGACTGTTCATTTGCAGACTACGCAATTATCAGTTTTTATCTCAAAATGGAATAACCGAAATTTTTATTAGTACGAGAAATAAAAAAGGTGAAAAAAGCAATTAGGTGCATTAAAATCCCATAAATTATTCTTGAAAAAATACGAAACAGCAGAAAAAGTACATTAACTTGAGAGAAGACCGCGCTGTTGATAAATAACCATATTGATATATCCCAGATACTTATATGTAATGAAAAACATTTTTATTTTACGCTGGGGCGAAGATATTTATAGTAATAAAATTTGTGGTGTCTGATAAAAATAACAAAAATAAATACAAATACGGTTGAAATATCCAAGCAATATTTTTTGTGATAAAAATTGGGTAATTTTAATTTGATAAAGAATGTCTATCGCATGTAATTTAAAGATTTAAAGAAATGCCGTTACTAAGAGCTTTCTGCTGTATAATTCTGCAATTTATAATCATTAGCGTTTTTCTGATTCGACAGGGCTGAGAGCGGGCGCGGGGTGTGCCTCGCTCACCGCGCCGAACTCGTGAGACGAGGGTGCAAGCTAAATTGAGACATCTCAACACGTGATTGATTACGACCGAGATTGGCAACTTGCAACTCACGACTGAGAGAATGCAAATTTTGCATACATTTTTTGTACCCAATGTTGAGAAACCTTTCTCGCGAATTCGAGTACGGAAATTTCATTACAGGCGAGTGCCCCTTGTGAGAAATATTCAGTCAGTCTCGTATGACAGCCCTTCACTTGTCTGTATCGATGCAGTCAGCCGAAAGGTGCGCGCCGGTAGGAACCGCGCGCTCAGAATGCGAACCGTTATAATCCCTCATCAAGCGTAATATGTTCAGTGTAAAAGGCATCATTAACGATTGCCTTAAAAAGGCAAACGGGAGCAATCATTAAAGTCGCAAAATATTATAAAAAGAAAATAAACAACGACACGTCTCGTTACGCGAGTTTCCGTTGCTACGAAAGTGAACACAATGATGTCAGTGCGCCGATAAAAAGCCGAGTAAAAAATGCTCTGAATGAGTAGAAGCGCTTTGGACACGCAACACATGGCTCAATCGTAGCTCACAATACACAGATCGAACGGAAGTTTATTAGCAGCTATCTAACATATGCATTACGAGTGCAAGGAAATAATTGCACGTCTATTGTGTAATTACCTTTATCATTATTTATTATTTACTGGAAAATAAATATTCAGGCTTATATTATGTTTTAGACTTATCATGAGAATGTAAGAAAAATGAGCAATCTTTATTATTTTCAATGTAGTACGAGTATATGATTAATGACGACGGATGTTATTAAAATACTTCTTAACATATTTGCTACGAAGATGTAGGGCGCCGCGACGCAACCCTTGGATTGACGCAGAATAACAAACAACGACTCCGTCTTACTAGCGAGATGATTAATTGCCGCTACATACTGTGATTGATTGAGCTCTTTTCAAAATGTTTTTTGTACGTAAACTATTTTTGCGGAACGACATTTCAATCTATTGAAATTGTCTAACGTTATGAGATAACATTTTAAAGAGATATTTGTCACTAAGTGTTTATGTAAATGCTACAGCCGTGGCGTGTGAACGCTTCCAATATTAAGAGGAGATTAAGTCAATCGTGTATTTTGTACGGTGTTTAATTAGGTGCAGAATCTGGAATTCGTGTTGTGTCGTGTGTTCGTCGTTGGAAAGCCACAAGGCGATGGTATCGCGGACGAAAGCAAAGCTCCGCCGAAACAGGGGCGTGCCAGCCGTAATTACAATCCCGCCACGCACACCCCGGCCCCGGCCGGCACACACCGGCAGGGCACTAGCGCCCAAATCTTTCTGTTTACTAAATTTCTTACAATCTCTTAACCGCTTTTTGGCACGCAAAACTTATTGAATTCGCATCGCGTGTGAATTATACTTTTTAGTTACGGTTGATAACGCGATAAAATTGTTTCGTAGATATAGTGTAGGCGAGGCATGGTTATCAATTTTGTGCTGTTTGGATTTAAATGTAGCCATTAAATTCTTTGTTTGTACAAAATACGCCATGAAACTTAAAATGATAGAAAAGTACTGTAAAGGAAGAGTTCTCACGAGTTTCTCTAAATTAAGCTAATTCGTCTGCACATGCCATAGTTTCACCGGCCACGCCTCAGACAACATGAAATTCTTCAGGGTGTTGTTTCTTTTTGGAAACACGAAAGAATTCTCGTTAAGAAAACACGATGTTTGCCGCATTGAAATTGTTTTATCATAATGCAGTATGGTTATTGTTTAAAGGGAGCGATATTATCCGAGCGGAGGCACGGACTCCCGGGGCGGTCATTGTATTCCTATATGGCGAATGTCAAAAGCGTCGTCTTAATTATCGGGCGCGGCTATACAATGCGGACTCGATTGCGGCGAGATAAGCTCTGTACACCTATCTGAGTCCGTATTGAATGCGATGCGGCCGGGCCGCGGCCGGACTCGCGGCCCACTTACTGCCTTAATAATAACTTCAAACGTATGTCGCATTGTATCTCTGATTATTCCGATCTAAGCCCATTGAATACAGATAAAATGTGTTTGAATATGTTAGGCGCTGTCAAAAAAAGGAAAATGTTTGAATCAAAAGTTTATTGCGTAAGTATGGCTCGTCTACGATATCTTACTGTAGTATGAGTAACGTCCCGTTTTATAACCAGTACAAACAATAACATTAAAATCAAAACAATACAAAAAACCAACTTCAATTATCTAAACCAGATTAACCAGATTACCAAATGTGGAATTTCTGGTTTATCAAGATTACATAGTTAACGTGTATTATGGTGCAATTTTATTGTGTCAACCTTCTCTCGGTGAGTACCAATTCATTATGATGTATTTCAGGGAAGTGTCAGGAAACAATAATGATGGGATTTCCGATTTCCACGGTGCGTCGACATGACACCACGCGCCGCGTTTATAATTGTTGCGGTTAATCTTTTGTCTAAGCACAACTTCTCACGAGTTAAATGGTAATTTAGTCACAGCATTGTTGGTGTCATTAAATATTGAGTTATACTCCAACAAAGACAATTATTTGTTATACATTACACTGATCTACTGATTGCAAGATGATAGCATTTATCTGTTATAAAGTAAAGGCACTTGAAAGATAAATAATGTTTGACATGATGTCGGGAACAGAAGCTAACAGTCATCAGTTACTAATAATGGATTTTGTTTTATATCAAAGCTCAAAACCAATAGATATTTGCCTCTTCTAAATATTCATCACGTAGGCACAAGGTATAAAAAAACTTGTTACAAGGTATAAAAAAGTTAATGTAAAACCTGCCTAAGAACTATGCTGGAACACAGTAACGATCGATATTCGCCTTTACGTCCTAAAGTTGACAATAAATACAAATAAATGCGAGTTATTTTTGCATGTTTGGTAATTCGAGTAGCTGGAGAAAGAAATATGATGAAAGTGAATACTTGAAGGTGAGCCAGAGGCGGGTAGGGAGCAGCCGGGCAGGATGAAACCGAGCCGAGACGCCTGCGGTCGCGCTCCCGACGGACCAAGTCCGGCCGCTCCCACTTATCTACTTACCACCACTTACTTACAGTAGCCCTTGTTAAACTCAAATTATCTCGCAACATATTGCCCACTATTACGTAAACCTACTACTTCATTAAGTTACATTCAAAATAAAATATTTTGGCTTGCAGTTTAATGTTATCGTAAGGTATTCAATTTATAGAATACACGAACATTCATTTACATTTTAAATTGTATTCGTTGATGCGAATTACACGTACTTACATACAGTTACCCGATGAGACTCGCTAAGATAGGAATGAATACTGGCATTTATGTAAGGATTTTATGTGCAGCTTCACTACCTACCAAATGAATTAGTGCCTCATGTTACATTTTGTACTTTAAATATATATCTACCATGTATGTTGCTTGCCTTCAAAGATAGGAGCAATAATATGACATATTTAATTTGAGCAGTAGCGCCAGAAGTTATTAATTAAGATGTCCGCGGAGCCGGACGGCGGGAGTCGCGACTGCGGCGAGGTTTGATGCCGCGCAGTGTATTTTACGATTCCCTATGCGAGTACGTCCAGTGACCACTGCCACAGCTTTCTAAGGTCCACTACAAGTAAACATCCGGCCACTTAACCGTTAGCATCGATAATTCCATTGACTTTTTTAACTGAGAATGTCTAGCATTCGATTTATTCTATTTAAAGACTTACCTTGACTGTTTGGTTCTTGAGTGGTTTGTCAGGATCGTGAACATACTCGAGCGTGATGCCGTAGAACTGTCCTTTGTTGATGTATGTGATTCGGTCATCTTCACGTCTCTGCGAACTGCTGCTCGCGGTTTCCAGGTGGTACTTGAAGCCATACGGGGAAAACCTGGCACAAACAAGCAAAGCGTTTATATCACCACCGAGAAACGACGAGTCGCTATGACATGTACGACACCTGCGGGCTCAAGATTTAAGATAAACACACAAAAACTTGTGTATTGCGGAGTAGCGCAGTAGGCGACTTGTCCTTAATGTTTGTTGGAACATAAAATGCACAATAAGAGCTGGTTTCTGTAACATTTAGAAAAAGTGCGATTTCTTCTTTGAGATACTTATCTACGGATACACGTTCTCGACAATAAAGTTTCCATGAAGTAAAGCAATAAAAGTGTGCAAAAAGTGGAAATCTTAATTGCACGGCCGGTACAGCTTGTCAGCGGCGTCGTTACATAAAGGCGCAGATCTAGTTCGTAGTACGCAATGAAAAACTGTGTTTTCTCGCGATTTCCTGACTGCTGGACCGGCGGAAGGAAAACCCCGCTAATTTAGCGGTGATCGCGTGCCGCGGCTCGTTAGCGACACCAGCGCGACGCTCGCACGCCACCGCCCGCGCCCGCGCCCGCGCTTGTCACCGCGCTGATCTCGATGCGCCCACGCGCGCCACTCTCGCGCTTACAAACTGCACCACCAAACTAACTAGTCATTATCGGAGTACTCTATTGTGGCGCAGACTTAACTTATGTAACATGATAAAAAGTAATAAATCGTTATGAAACGTTTAATCCTTTAAATCTGTCCAAGGAATGCGGATAAAACAGTTTGCGTCGATTTAGTTCTACAGTTACACCATTACTTAAGCTTATTGAAAACAATTTGGTAAACAGCCCCGCTGATGTTTGCGATTTGAACCGAGCTTGTGAAGATAAAAGCCGTGTAATGCAAACGCAGGCCGACATTGACGGATCGGTCGCGGCGGCGCGGGCGCTCGCCTATCTGATGCTCTCTAAGTGATTCCGAACACAATTTACATTTGCAATGTTGCTTTGTATTGTCATTTCAACTACCCTTATCCTTTGTTTACTTACACTTGATGGACTGTTCGTACTACCAGCGAGATTATAATTTTGCAATACTTCCCGATCAATAAATACAAATACTATGGACGAAAGACAATGACGACGACGATAGATATAGGTATAACATGCAGTTTGTATGGGTACATGAATTCTTTGTATTCAGTAATAAATAACACATTGTTTTCGAATGAGCTTCATTACAAATTTCAGTGGTGAACCAGCCAAAAAAAGACACTTCCTGAGTGGAGACAAGAGCCTTGCCTTTCATGAATAAATCAATCGGAGAGGCGCGGAAATTGATGAGTGCGCAAAAAGTCTTGGAACGTAGCGACAACAAAGTGCTCGCAATAAAAACGCATGCCGCGATAAGAGACGCACAGGCTCGCGTCCCGCAGAGCCACCGAGCGCTGCGGCCCAAATTAGATGCGCATAAAGACGAACCCCCTATAACTACGTGCGCTTATGGAAAAAGACCATTTATTGAACAGCCGTCTCATTTTTTGCATTTTGTTTCAAGTAAAATCAACACCGTTTCAGAAATCACCCTAAAGGAAGTTACGATAAATAAAGTTGGTATCGTGGACTTAAAAGCTAATCGAGATTAAATTCATTATAAAAATGGAATGGTAAACAAAACTATGGTATACATGTACAATGTGTTCGTAGAAATGGTAACTGAGTCTATTTTGAACTAAGCTGTGAAATTCCTGACAGCGTGCGTCACATGAAACCAAGAGAATTCGCAGCAGGGCGGCGCTGCTGGTATTAAAAACCCGTAAAAATGACTCGTTAGCGGGCATTAACATTTCATACCCTTTTTTCTTACACATGAGACCAAGGGATAAGATATGCAAGTGTCTATGTACTTATACGGATATTTCTTAATTATCGTACGCAGACTACGACTCTTGTTTCCCATACAAATAATTGTAAAAAGTGTGTCTATCTGAAACGTCACATAAAGTGATCCTGAGCAAATACCTAAATATACATTTAACTGATCCAGCGCTGCTGCACACGTTGTTGGTGAAAATTTATTTGAGGACATCGAAACACACAGTGCCATCACCCACAAAACCAATATCTTCAGTGTTCTAATAATATATTTCCTACTAACTAATTACAATGTACAATGGATTACTTATCGTAAAGTTGGATGAAATAGGTACGTGTGTACGCAGCATCTTCGAAATGAAAAGATATTATCTTTTAATTCTAGGGGCGGCGAGCAGTGTGCAGGAGATAGCACGGTGTACAGGGGCTCGGTGTTGCAGGAGCGCGGCGGTGCATCATGCATGCGGCTGCTTAATGAGAACGCTTAGCTGGCGTAATGGCGCCACGCTGATTGCCGGCTGCGGCTGACGACCAACACACGCACCATGCAACCATATCATCATAGACAAACTACTATTATTTACTGCTACCATCGCTGCAAACGATTCACAGAAGTTTTCCTAACTAACGCACTTGTAGGAATTGCAACAAACACTCATTTGGCGAACCAAACGTAATAATTGCAACTCAATGCTAAACTTGTAATGCAACTCGAGTAGGGTTCGGCTGTAAAGAACAGTTCATAAGACAATAAAACAGATAAGTAGATCGAGAACAGCTCTCAGTGATCGAGCAAACGGAATGAAAACGTAGTTTAATACTTAACAGAGGCAGAGGAATGCTGTTTAAAGTATACATTCATTTGGCTTAAAGCGGACAGATGTTAGGATCGCGTGTACGCCGCAATCCTGAAGCATTGCACCGATATCGCTCTCCACATTTATAAGTCCCGGTAATGAACTTGTAATATTAAGAATCATATTAAAAATAACGGCGCCTTTCATTAAAATATGCGCATTAACCTTTATCAAACATAAAATGGGAATACATATTTATAGAAATAAATTAAAGACAAAAAGTCGTTATGTTATTATTTATCAGTTTGTTAATTAATTCTGTGATACAGATAAATATGTGAGCTAGTGCCTTTTTAAGTGATAATCAAATACACACTTTGCTTGATTAAGTTACTATACCTTTTAAAAGCTCATTCCTGCGTTGAAAATTCGAGAGGTAAATAATGTGCCTGTTTGATACGTGAAAAGGTATTGGTGTAGTTAACTGACCGGTAAGTAATAGACCAAACATTTGTGAGGGCGTTAGAATTACTGAGGCGACGGCCGCTGGCGAGGGCGCGCGGCGCGAGGCGGCTCGAGAGCGAGCTGCGGCCGCGTATCGACATCGAAGGTAATTTAAGACGGTAGAAGCGACCGCGCTATTTGGGCCAAATGCAAGCAAGTAATTATCGAGATAATAATGCTAATGCACTTATCATGTCGACGACTGCTTCCGCTGGCGACGCGATGTTTTTTCCAATGATTTCATTTCGACGGTATTCTAATGTTTGTATTGGAACTTAAATCGTACAATTTAGTAACGTATTTATAGAGATTATTTTTAATTAAAATATAATCTACTGAAGAATTTGTTATGCAAATATACAATTTTCTAAAAATATTTGTTTCTTTATTCCGAATTTATAGACCTTTATTTATAAATTTTATTCGGCTGGCAATATCAATATAGAAATAGTTACATACTTCTTGAGTAAGTAAACTTAAATTAAAAGAAAATTTAATGAGACAAAAATGGTAAAGTATTTGTACTTACGTCCGTTGCTTTTTGTCCAATTAGGTAGCTTGTAAATAAATGTATTTTATTATTCTGCTGAACATTAACGAGTACTTAATTCGCATTGAGACAATTGTTGCCTTAATAGGAACAGATGACAAAAACACCAACATACATGCAAGTATAGAAAATGGTTGCTCAGTGCAACTGCTCAAAATTGTATGTGATATACTGATTCTTGTTAACGCGCTGAATAATGTTACTACACTAATTTAGTTATACAGTCCAAAATGATTATTACGTTTTATACGAATTAACCTTCTGCATTGCATACGGAAATTAATAACTTAATGAAAAATAACTATTAAAACGTTGAAAAACTGAGAGTTGGGGAAAACCTCTGACTATGAACTACAACGATTGTTTATCTATGTGGAATTACCCCTTGTTGTAAAGTGGAAGAAACCTATTTAATATCGGCAGTTCATCATCCCGCGCAAATTGTACCAGCGATGGAGAACAAGTTGCCGACTACTCGTAGGCGAGGAGTCCTAGTCTAGGAGGTAACCAGAGCACAGTTGCGCAATGTAAAACCAAAATACAGAGTAATACAGCTTTCGGACTTACTCATAAATAAACTCTATTTAATTCTTGCACAGTATCGATCATGGCGCGATAATCGAGATTTAAAACCAGTTTCACAATGTCTAAATAACTTTCTGTTAGGCTAACTGATGGGTGCTTTAACGCATTTTTCAGACAAATTTATCAAAATAGGTTTTAGTAACAGCAAACATTGTGAAACAAGTCTTTATTAATGTAAAGTAAGTCGTTATCTTTGCTTTATCGAATTAGATTTCAAATTTGAGATTTCAAAGTTTTTATTATTATCTTTTAAAAGATTTTCTACATGATTTTTAAGATATAATAAAATAGTTTTAAAATTGAATGATATACGGTACGTTTAGACACACTCGAGGCATTCAATTATAAAGTGAACAATCTTAATGAAATGTATCAACTTTTACTCATTGAGTCATTGTATGTACAAATGAGAATATAAAAGAGAACGTACTTACGAAGGTACTTATAGATAGGAACTTCCTTTGATAACTGTGTGGTACGTACGAACGTACATATTATTATATACCAATTCAATTCGATAAACACAACTATTAACATTGACGATATTTGCAAGAAACCGTTGAACCTTTAATGAATATATGGATAAAGGATGACGTTAGATTAACCGTCTCAACTAATTAAATCGATGTCAATCCAATGTAAGTTAGTTTAAAATAAGATTAGCCTTATTTTCGGAAATAAGTGTACCCAAGATATGTCTAATAAGTTATCTTTTGTATTAAGTATAAACTACATATATTTTTAGAATTAGATAAGTTACAATATTTACATTATAGTAATATATTTTATCACTTTCACTAACTACGATAATCGATTTAACTATTAAAATGACATTCTTAGCAATGATATCAATTAATAAACAATTAAAACATAGTATTTTAGAATGTTGAAGATCACTTATAATTGCTGCGTACATTGTTTCAAATAAAATATATCTGTCATAACTACACACTCATTCAATTCTCAATTGTACAACAAAGAAATGTTGAATCTGTCCAACAATTATGTATTAAATCTACTCATATTTCTAAACGTTGTATGGCTTCAGAGGAGCAATAAACTTAAAAAATGCAACGCCAAACAAAAATCATCCTTACAAAAGCAAAGTACAGTACATTTTCGAGGGAACTAATTAAGAAAAACCCTTCAACAAAAATTAACTTGTCAGTTAGGAAATTACTAATTCACACCTGCTTTTACGGGCTGTATTCAGAGATCACGAAATGTAAGTTAGCACCTCTTAAAGAACTATTCTGGTAATAACTTAACAACGACACAGACGAACACAGGCTGTGCCGGCGCTCATTGTAAACTTAATTGATTGTTTGAAGACGCCAGGTTTTAGTGGTACTCGTACTTGTGTCATACTTTAAGAGTTAAGACTGTGATTTGTGCTATGTATATATGTAAACATAACGTTAAGATGTTTCTTATTTCATTTTTGCCGATACTTCGAAAAGTGTATGTATTAACTGTGACAGCTTTAATTTTATAATAAATAAAATTTAACAAATAATTTTCAACCTTTATCACACAGCATCTTGTGAATAAGGAAATATGTTAAAATACCAAGGAAAATTAGTCAACGAATACATGTATAATATAATGTATAATGGATTCCCACACTAATACAACGTGTTTATTCCGATACGCGCGGCGTGCGGTCGCACAGTTTTTAGACAGAGATCAAACGATAATGATATCATTACTGATTAGATAATTAACTGATGAATAATTGAAGCACTTTTATTGCCTATTTTATTAAGAAATAATTGTGTGTATCAATATTGTGTATGCTGGAAATTTTATTGAATATTTTTATATATTTTTTCTCAAATGACGGAGTATCAAAATACTACATGTATTTATGTTATCTATTAGTGAACCAAAATTGTAAGAAAGATTTAAGAACAAAATATTTAGATAAAAAGAATCAGAATTATGATGGTTGGTACATGTGACGTCATCGATTGTCGAAAGTATTTGGTTTCGTACGAAATACGAATTTATAATAATTTTAATTAATCTGGTATTTGAAAATAAAATATATCAACCCTATCATAACAGTATAAGTGCAACTACTGTACGCAGTAAGATTAGCTGAATTACTACGCAAAACCACAAGGTGCTAAACATTATTATTAAAATATTCTCACATTTATTTGTCAATTTTCAACACGTATCAATGAACACAGAATGTGATTCTAGTGGCTTGATTACCGCAAACCGCAACTTCTTTCATATATACAGTTCATCGAAAAAAAAAACGAAGAAACCTGCGAAAGAAACTAAAAATAACAAAACGCGATAGGTAATTGTGACTACTACATCTGCAATCGGCGAATAAAAATGTAAGTGAGACGCAGTACATATTCAAAATAGTATTGGAAATTCTTTACAAAAAATTATTAAAAGTTTACTTTGGTCTTTATTATTGAACATTACTAACACGACGCAATGATTGATAAATACATTATTACATTAAATTGTCGTTGATGTCTTTTGTTCGAACGGATTTAATTGATCAAAAGTCATTGTTACCACTTCAATTTGTACTTATGTAAAACAGATTTTTGTGTTATCGACTCATATTCTTATTGATGATCATATAGGAATTCAATTGGGATCTAAATACGCTTATTAGAATATAACTGAAGATTAGTTTGTGAACATTTGGGATTTATTGTGAACCGGGACATCATATAAAATTCTGAAAGTTAATTAATAACATGCACAAGTTAGGTACGAGTCTATTTCATTTCATCAGTGTTGTTTATGTAGTTTTGGGCGCAGTAACATTGTGTCGTCTGCGCGTGTGTCCGTAGTTACAACAAAAGTCTACGTTTCCTAGAAAGGGCCACATTATAGCAGTCGTGCGAGGAGGTGCAAAGTGCTTCGTCAATATTTTCGTTTGGACCACTCTCGTACCAGCAAATTACTGACATTACAAAAAAGGTTTGATCAAAATGAATTTCTGTTTACACTACGTATTTATACGGGAGACGAGTTGTTTGTTCTCGTCAGTGACCATGGTGTTTATTAGTAACAAATCAACGAAGAAGATGTTTTTCCCAACTGGATATGAATCATGGCGCATTTGCATTTGAAGATTTGATTAGATTTTAGCTTTTTTTACAATTGATTACAATTTAGTTATTTGAATTCAATTTGCGGAATAAATGTCTATAAAGCTCTTTTGTATTGTACAAAAATGAACAAAAATAGAGGATATTATTGTAACTATTCTATTAAATATCTTTTTTAAAGAATCTATCGTTGTCAATGGCAACTGCGGTGGGAACTACTAATCATAATTGCTAGAATTAGACACGTGAATTATAAATATTTAATTTTGAATTACTTAACATAATAAACATGTAAATAACTCAGAAGCTTTAAGAGGTTTTAGGTAAAAATAATAAAATGTTAATACGGCGAACTCGTATCAACCGGCAGCCTGTTTTCGATACTGTGTATAAAAAATGACATTGCTGCGGTTGGGTATGAATGAATGCTGTATTACTTTATATGTGGTTTGGTCTTACATTCCTGTGCCTTTCGAACGCGTTAGCAAACTGACATCAACACAGGTCGATGTTACTGAACGATGCAGTTTAATGTTTACTTACAGTTTTGCGATTTGTATCTTGTCAGCGTCATTTTGCCTTCCGAAGTCATGCCAAGGCCTGGTGCGTGGCGCCTGCGCAGGTGAGTGGTGAGCTGATGGCGTCCCTCGCCCGTCCTCACCCACTCCCGGCTGCTGGCATATCACCGTGTAGTCGAATGACTGCACGGGTAACACACATTAAAATCACACCAAAACAAAAATATCCTCGTAGGTATGTTCCTAACTGCCCATAGAAATAATATTTATCAAGAAAAACGTTTTTAACGTAACATAAAACCCAACATCTTTACGACATTTTACACATTCTTATTTGCATATCTTATTAGTTTGGCAGTGTGGTACTAATATAAAAATATATTTTTTAATAATTTCTTTTATTTTCGAATATATTGTCAGAGTTATTTACTTCTACAATTCTATATTCAATTTTTGTATGTTTTTATATTGATACATGTAGGTACCTTCTCTGAGTTTTGGAAGAAACAAAAATGTAATAAGGCATTTGATGTCGCAATCTCCCATAAATTAAATCTAATTGGCAACTAATTTATGGTAATGGTTACACATTAAAATATCATTGTAATTACGTCATCGTCACTACCTGTGCTCATTACATTAAACATAATTACAGTTATGTCGTGAAAATGTTGAGTTTCGAACATTTGGAATATTAAGCGTGTAGTGCCTTAACTATTTACTAAGACAATACCTAAATCCATTGTCGAAGGAATGTAACATTCATGTTGGAAGTCGATGGACAAGTTGACAAGTTGGGAACAGTGTTCGGTAGCGAGGTGACAACTATAAATTATTTAGTACCGGACTCGTTTCTTTTATGTCGAGTCTTTTGTTGAGACTAAATAATGAATGTACAATCTAGAACAGTTGGGTGGTAAATAGGTAGTTTCCATGCTCGTGATCGCCACACCCTAGGAACTGCCAAGTCCTTCAAAACCACTTAGCTCAACCAGATTACCGATCATGTCAATTTGTTATTTTAATATGTAAACTCATAAATTTAAAGTCAAACGCAAAGTGTTCGCAATTGTGTTTGTTGAAGGTCTCGCGTGGCGTCGACTCTATTGTCTGTACGTCGACGCACTTGTAATTAGTAGACTCTGCTATTATACTTAGATTATCTATTAGCTTATTATTCTAATAGGAATTGTAAGAAATACTAATATTGACACAAGTCTAGTTGGCAAGTGGAATGCTTATCTACATATGTGTGTACTTTTTCAAAATATGTTGTATATTCAATGATTCGGACATCATTCATCAAAATATCAAAAGACAATTTTCTGACATGATGAGGATATGTTTCGATCAAAGTATAACAACTATAGTAAAAATGTAGGTTGAGCATGGTTTAAACAGTTATTTTGTCAAATGAATGATGATCTCATCACCAATATGTATGATAAAAAATACTGTATAATTTCCTGACTTGACTTATGTAAGACACCTAACTTATGATTAATAAATAATGTGTACTTATAAAGATAACAGTACTGAAGAGCGCGGGTGGGCTTCTATGTTTGTTGGTACAAACTACCACTCCAAACAATTGGATTTGCAACTTAGCGGTTAAGGTGGTTCCAGTCTCGATATTTTCGAGAAAATGTATAAATGTACCTACATACAGAACATAATACTTGAAGAGTGAATATTGAAGGTTCAATTGCTTTTATTAGGTGAAGTGAAATTTTCATTAAGAAACATGTTGTGAATCCTCACAGCCTGTATCTCAGAGAAGTGATAAATGCATGAATGAGCCCTACGACTGTAACATCGCAACGATCTGTAAATACATCGATACATTGTTGTGTGGTGTTGTTGTTGTGTGTGTATATGTGAGAAGCCCGCCCGCCCGCGCCCGTGTCGTGCACCGACCTGCTGAACAGTGGACGCGTGGTCCCGAGGAGTCACTGCATCGGCTCCTATGCCGCTATCTGGTGAGGGCAGGTCCACTGTGAGCCCAGCGGCTGCGATAACACTCTTGCTGTGATAGCGAGGGGTGGCGTATCGATCACTAAAGGCGGATGCGGATGCCGGCTCAGCATCAGCATAAGGTGGTGCAGCCCTTTGCTGATAGCCCTCGCCAACGAAGTACTCTCTGTAGTAGGGCTCGCCAGCGAAGGTAGCCGGTTGACGCGAGTACTGGTCGCCATAGGGGGTGGGACTGGGGGTGCCTGGCGGCGCGAACATCTGGGCTGCGTACATGGCGGCGTCTGGCAGCAGCGAGCCGGCTGATGAGGCGCGCGATGGCGCCGGAGACGGCGAAGCCGCTTCACCAGGCTCACCCACCGCCACCTGCGGACACACGCGCCTGTTACACGCGCTCTCCCACGACAATTGTCCGCTCCGTAATGTCGACGCGTACATGCCGCGTCAAAGCACAGTTCACAGCTTCACGTACACTAATGTCGATTGATTGTTTCACGTTCACGTTTATCAATGAGGGTAATCCCGAAAAAGTGTAATGGTCCTTGACAGACGCCGAGGTCGGCATGCACTGGGCGGGCAGCACTGGCCAGCCGAGCTGGGCGCGGGCGGGCGCGGCTAGTGCGTCTCGAGCACGGTGCTCGGCGCATCGTTCGACAACCGCGATAAATAATACATGAGTGACCGGTACAGTAAGTGTGTGAGTGCGTGCGCGCGCGGCGGCGGCGTGCGGACGTGTGACGCACCTTGTGTCGCGGCGGCTTGAGCGCGTGCTCGGGCTCGTCGACCACCTTGCGGCTGAGGTCCTCGGGCTCGCGCTTCACGAGCCCCGCGTGCAGCAGTCCCGAGAGCTCCGCCAGCTCCGCCCCGTGCGCGCCATTGGCCGCCTTCAGCGCTCCGCCGGCCCTGCGGAGGGGAGACACCCGTGATTGGCGACGGTGCGCGCGCGCACTTCGAGTCCGCCCGACCTCGCCATGCGCGCGCGAACTCGTCATACTATCATTCTCGCTCTAGGTGTTACACACTGTCAAATTGTCACATGGTATTTTCCTAGTAATCAAAATACAAATAAAATTATCATACTTGTTGCAGTTTGCAATATTATTTACATTATTGCAAGGCTCACTATATTTCTTGGTAAATATCTAATTCTAGATAAAGTTATTTTACAGATATCTGGCTTGCTAGTCCTGCTCAATCCTAATAAGGTGTTTGAGATAGAAGCCTACTTTCAAACTGTATAATATAAAATAGTTGACATTATTTAACACTTTATCACGAGTCTCTATATTTAGTTATTGAATACGTTAGATAGCAGTTTTCAAGTGATTTCTGGTATTCTCTTTACATTACTTGTAACAGTTAATTTTGAAGTTTAAGGAGTAATTTAACGTTGCGGTCATTTTAGATTTTTCTCAAAAATATTTTGCGTTTGTGTCCAGGATGTTAAGAAAGACATTTTTTCAATAATTTAACTGCAGTGCTGCCATCTATTTTTAAATTGTGAAAATGAATTCCTTGAGCAGACTTATTAAAAATCCATTATAATAACTGGGTTTAGTCAGGTACTCAGTCAAAAAAGTACAAATAATCAAATGTATTTATCAGAATTTTATTGTTTTGATGATATTAGTTTTACTATTTTTATCTAATTTATAATACTATGCCATAAATTGTTATTTCATACTTACGAATTATATATGAACAAAAGTTCATAGGAAATGTATTGACAGTTAAACTGAGAGTTGGAAACTTTTCTATAATATCAACCATAATAGTGTCTTAATTTTAGAATTTCTTAATTAACGTACTTAGTTAAACACAAGTCAAGGTAAATCAACGAAATTAATTGGATACTCTTTTAAGACAAGTACCATGCAATCATTTTAACTCAAAAGGGTCAAAACACACTATATTCCACAGATATATAGGTATACTTCATAGCTAGTGCGGCATGTATACTTGTATCTTATATCTCTAAAACTTCTGAACTACAAAATAATAAAACATGTGGGATCATACAGTATTGACATCAGCTATAATTAACATTGTTACAATTAATTCTTAAAATAAGGCGCCAACTGATAAATAAATTGACCTTAAAAAAACATTAATTACAGTGCCCTTAATGCGTACTACGAAACGCTACGAAGTTCTACGAACTGCGTAGCACCTTAATTAGTAATGAGTTCTACGAAAATTGGTAACTACGACGAAGCATCTGTAATGAGATATGGTCAGTTTTATCTTTAAGTATATTCTTACGTTACCCACAGGTTACCCACAGGTTTCTTTTTTAGGACCACGATCTTGATTGCTACGTGAATTAAAAAGAGAAACGGTAGCCGATTAGACCCGATTCGAAAGAAGCGCCTACATCCGTTGCAGGACAATGAAGACAATATATCTGTACTCGGAAGATTGGGGTCAAACTATCCCTTGTAATTTCAAGAAACGACAAACATATATTTACGCAATTAGTTTACGCACACTTAGAACCACTGTTCATGCGTGTCATTGTAGCATATTAGAAGCAGTACTTGGACGTTTTTTTGTAATTTTCTGGAACTTTTTACAATGAAACAAAGCGACATTGGTTTTTCGTATTTCGTTAAAATCGTGGGAGCTGTTGCCGAGGTCCAATCAAACGTTTATCATGCAGTATCGATAAAAATAAAAAAATTAAACGGTACCGAATAAAACTGCATGTTATGACATATGGTGGGACAGACAGTGATACCAAATCACGAAATGAAAAGGTGGCCGAGTACACCAACATAAACATGAAACAATACCCATTTAACATAAAACGTCACAAGTAGGACGGTTTACTTACATGTAATAGCGTTTGCAAGTTCATTTACATGGGAGTGATTTGATTTGTTTGCATGTAAGCGCGCACCTCGAGCGGCGAGCGGCGCGGGGCGCGGCTTTCGTCGGCCGTTGTCAGTGCGCGCCGATTTATGATAATTGAAGACATGTTTCACCGGCGCTCAGATGTTTATTTTAGATAAGAGAGTCTCGCGGCACTATTTCATGCGTCCGAATTGGTCGGGACGCGCGACCTCCCGCGCGCCGAGCTCCGGACGCTCCTCGCCCGTGTCCGATTGCAATTCTCGCTTTGCTCATTCTTCACGATTTATGCACGCGATTTGTAAGAGAAACGCGACGTGTGTGAAATCGCTCATTCGATAAGATAAAGCTGAGCCGTATAAAATATTTCTGTTTGTTTCGCCAAATTTCCGCAGTGCGAGTAACGAACAACGCGACATGCGAAAAGTGAAACGAATTTGTAATATCAAGAGAATTGAACGCAGTTATAGTCTGTACCGTGGTATTTTGATGTTGTGAACGTTTATCCCACCAGCTTTTTTGCGATGCATGCAAATTGAATTATTGGTATTAATCCGAGGTCGGTATGCCGGCGGCGTCGCGAAGATATCGTTATTCATATGTGTGGGGCACAATACGGTGTTTGCTTGTCGCTTATTGTTGACGCTTGTACAAACGGGACAAAGCGCGCTCCGTTGACAGCTGACGCTTCGAGCGATGTGGGTGCTGCCACTATCAAGTACCAAGCTTCTTACGAAATTCTTGCATTCGTTTTTGATATTTGCATAATATATAAAAGGAGATTTAAAAAGAATTTTGAATGATGGAAATCGGGCAACTATGGTCTTATCTACTTACTTACTTTTACCCACTTTTGTATTTTTAGTATCATATTATGTAGCAGGCAATCTACTTATAACTGAAACACATCTTAAACAGTAAATCCAGCTTACATTTACTTGACATCCTATACATCGACGAGATCTTATCATAAAACTCATAGCCGTTTTAGTGATATTTCTAAAATACAATGTTTACAAGTGTACCCCTTACAATGCCAACAAATCCCTCGTCACCGTTGTGTATATTTCTAAGTCTATCAGGTAGCGGAATAGATTTCCCAAACTGTTAATCTGATATCAGTGTCATGTTGCTTGCGATTAACATAACAGTAACTGTAATAAAAGGTAAGAATGATCACCATCTCTAGCTGTGTGCTACATTTTACATGCAAATATAAATTTTCTTATCAAAGCGGAATCGGTTCGTCGCTCGGATGCAATTGCCATTATAATTATTTGCAATGTTTACTTAACACCCTTTCACACATGATGAGATCTCGACAATACGATACTTAGGGTGCAGGGACCCTCGCGCCGCACTCATACATGCATTCAATGCGTTTATCGAACTACCTCTTACAAGACACAAAAGGCATCTTCCGCGAGACATTTTTTAAATTTTAATCGGAATAACTTAGTTACAGATTTGATTGTTTGGAATATCGAAATTAAATTATAAATGCTGTTTACGATATGATGACTTTCGACTAGTACTTTATAGCTAACGTACCTACCTACCTCAGCACTACGTCTTCATTAATTATTCTAGAATATTACAGAAATAACTCATTCCTAACATGGTAATGTCGCTATCTAAGATATTTATTCCGAAAACCCTAATGTAGCTCCACGGAGCCTTTGATAATAACTTAATAAGCTAACACATGCGCAGCGAGCTCTATCTATAACAAAATCTGAGGCGGCGACAGTTTATCCATCGCTTGACGAATAGATTACAATCTACCGAACGATAAACGAGACGAAGGAGGCGCTTGCAGCGGATACGACCAACGTAATTTCATTCTATTTGAATATATCATTCGACTAAATGTAGGTTTATTGCTGCTTTTCTCACGGAACTAATACATTATCAAAAACTTTAATTGAAAACGATTTCGCCATTTGTCTAAGTCATTAAATCGGGCGTGTGATTACAAATAACTGTCTCTGACCATTAATTTCCCCGTACTTTATTCCCTAAATGTTAATGAATTTTATCTGCCCACAGTGTCCGAGTAACAAAATAGTAATAATAAACAGCTGTACTTTTGGCATGCCTACAGCTCTAACGAATTCTTTGCGCAGCTGTTTCAATGTAACACTATAAATATATTCGCATGATGAAGAATGGTCAAGAAATAATGGTCAGCCCCGGTTTTCATTTTTCGCTACGTGATGGCCGGAGACTATCAGGGACAACGAAGCTACCATCTTTTTATGCATTATCCTCATAAGAGGGTCCGTTATATCCAAGGGGATTGAATGGTATTAACTACTGTGTCTTCAACAATAACGACGTATCTTCAAGAGGAAACCGGTTCTAGTCCTAAATGGGTCACACGGTTCCAACTCCCTGACTTTTTGTTAAACCACCGCGACATTAACGACACATGTGCTGTATGTGCTTGCTAAATTACATTATTCACTGCTTTCTTTTAGCATACAAATATAATTATTATTTTCTTCAAAAACTATTAAAAAACTCTTAAATAACGTAAAATGGCAATATGACGTGTATTTGAATGTTAACTATTTACAAAATATCACCCGTTTACCTACATAGTAATTAAATGCGAAGATAATTTCTATCATTAGCTCGTAAAATAAGTTAGGTACATTAGTGTGGAGAAACCGACTTCCCGTTAGTACAGCAAGTGCGAACAGTGACAGGGTCAAGAGGGCGAGGCCCTCCCCAGAGGCATCCCGCCGCGCGTTTCTATGCTAATCTTAGCGTTAGCATTCGACAGCCTCCGACAACTATTAATGGTTATAGCCGCCGTTTCCATTTAATACCCGTAACATCCGCGTAGTCCTGTGCTTAGACTTTAGTTTTACTTAGCTGCGCCCGCGCACTACGCAATGCGTTTACGAAACGATTTCACGCCTACGTCAACGAATCTCGAAGGAATACAGACGGAACTAGTTCACTTCAACATGTATCGAGCATTCAATTCAAATAATACGAGCGATTTAGACAACAAATAGTGTGCTTGAAACCTGACGATGCACTGGCGCTGGACTATTTGCATACAAACGCATTCGGAGACAGAACGCGCGTATGGGTGCGGGCGACTGAGAGCATTCGTTATAATTTTGAATGTATGAATGAGCAATAGCGGCGCGCGTTGAACCGAGCGCGTGGGACGCGTGCCGACAATGACTCGAGACAAGTCCTGGGCGTCCTTGTCAATGTGAGCCGCTTCCAGCCACATCCGTCTATTGTCATTATTTGTATTTATGCACTCCCGTAAACAGTGACGAGCATGACGGGCACAATGGTGCGACAGCCTGTCACATTCTGGAGCGCAGCCTCGGCAGCCAAGGAACGTGGTGGCTGCGCACCGGCAGACCCTCGGCCACGTCGTCGTGTGTGGTGACACGTGGGAGGTTTTTACCACTTCGACAGTTCACTATTCCTACATGAAACACCTACTCGTACATAACAAAACATTAAAAACTTATACAAGTTATACACATAGTTAACATTGCGTTAATTTTGTTGACAACAGAATTTAATTCAAAAATTAACATTTTCACGGATTCACAACTAGTTTCTTATTCAACTAGTGTTTATGGAACATAATAAAACGTTCATAAAAGTTTAAATGGTCTGTATAGGGTCAAGTTAACATTATGCACTCCTTGTATTAAGAATGACACGGCGTTTGCTCATTTTTGCGTCGCTATTCAAAGGATGCTGTTAACAACCTCTTTCAAAGAGCGAGCATAATTTGATCGGGGTCGTGTTTCTATGGGAATTTGTTGAATGCACCGACTTTATTCATAAGCATTTAGAACATTTCAAAAATCGTGTCAGTTTATTTTAATTCTTCTTGTGATTTACGTAAGTAGTAAAGAATACTATTTTTATCATTATGATATTGTAACATATAAAATTTACTTGTTAATAACCTAACTAGATATTTATTTACTTATAATAAATAAATACATATATTAAAAAATAAAATTATAATTTAGTAAAAAAATCATTTTATAAATTGTGACTTTATTCTCAAAATATTTATAATAAAACATATGTTTCTTTTGCAAAACGAAGTCAAATAGCCAAAATATGTTAATTTCGGAATGATATACAGAGACAGCCCGTCAACCGGGAGGTGAGGGGGGTTCGCGAGTTGCGAACTGCTATTTCGTTAATCCTGCTATAGGTATTCAAATGAGCGCTCATGATTTATTGAGTGGAACATTAACATTTTTATTATTTGTTATTCTTACACCTTTCGGTGGGGCCGGAAGCCACGCGGCGTCTTGTCTCAGTGTACTCGTCCGTGAGACTTGAGCAACACACACAACCCCCGGCCCCGCCCGTACATCAATGTGTACAAAAACTCCACTACACAAAGATTGCATATTATCATAGTTTACATATAAATTTTACGCGAATTCATTCCGTATTCACCGCGCCACGATATTCGGCGATTATGATGATAATTGCTCCGATACACGAACGTTCAATTTGATGTACGGCCGTGAGAATCGACGATTGATTTTCCGCGATCATCATCTGACTCGTCTGATTGTTAGGTATCGATTTTTAGATTAGATTTGCATATTCGATTATCGCTTCATGTATTATTTCTATTCATATGTTTACATTTTAAATGATTAATTAAGCTGAATGCGTGTTTCATACATAGGTATTGAATCGAACACTATTTGTAATATTTTACAAAGTCATATTTATCAGATTTAATGAGCAACACCTAAATGCTATACGTTAATATTGTTACAACCGTTATGTGTATAGGATAAACGATAATGTGTAAACACGCTAGAGCCAATTAATAATACAAGTCGAAGGTAAGCAAACAATGTTCAGGACTCACGGCCAGACATCAACAAGTTTGGCGTCTTTGTGCAGGTTGAGGTGCGTGTCCTGCCCGAGCGGAGGCAGCTTGTAGTACTCGATGGGCTGGCCCTGGCCGTCGTCCGCTACGGCGCCCAGCACCGCGGACGTGGCGGCGCTCAACGGGTGCTCTGCGCTGGAGTAGTATGCGCGCCATGACTCACCGCTCACCTCCATCACCTCTTTACGTCTTCTGCAACAAAAGAAAATACCATAAAACACCTGTATATTGATATCGAGTATGAAATCTGCATTTAGCCATAACACTATTTGTCTTCCACCTGGCCGTAGTAGGTATAGAGTAAACCGAGTAAACATAGCGTAAAATACAGGTATACAAAACCACTGTATTTTACGAATGAATCGACTACAACTTACGAACCAGTTATTAGGCGTGACCATTTTGGTACGGATACTGACCTTTGATGGTACCCACCGCGGTCATCGCATAATGTGACGCTACGTTTGCTAATTGTTGCGCACACATAGCATGACTCAGCATAGCTAGTGTCGAGTGCGAGAGTGAAATGGCTACCTACTATCAGAACGGGCTTCGACATGCAGGGACGCTGTCTAATTTGGATGACTATATGCAAGTTCGCCGTAGTACTCATACGTCACGCGGTCGGGTCGCCTGGTGCCGCGTAACCTGATGTAGAACAGGTCTGAACCACTCGCAGAACCGGAAGGATACGAGGCAAATCCCTGCTCCCTCGCTAACCAGTTTAGGTCGTCTGACGTCACGCTCAGCGGTATCCGACGATGCAGACAAATAAATAAAAAATGTTGGAAGCACGCGTTGGACGGGTTTGACCGGATCGTAGTTCTACCTGATTCCTGTTCCTGGTGTGTTAATATATCGTGGCATTTATTGTGTGAAATGTGACATACTTATGCACTCCCACTTTCCTGAGCGGTAGCTTCACAGCCCTCGATGGACGTTGATAGGACGTCAGGAATCTAACTTCCACTCGTACTTTTGCCCGAATCAAAAGTAGCGGGAAGCAAATCAACTCTTTAAATTTTTTACAGTGAAATTTGCGGCAGCCAACAACATATTGTAAAAATAGATTTTCCAAAGGATGTATGAAGTCATTATGTATCTTTTAAGTCCATGGTTATCCAATCTATGAGCTAACCCAGGTTGCAGAATGTCGCGTTAGGCCAAGTAAGAATAGAATGTGCGAATTGGATCAGAGAACTGGAAAAGCCAGCTTCTGGCATTTAACCAGCCGAAGCGTGAGTCATTTGACGAGTTAACTGGCAGGCGGTGGCGCAGGGGGCCGGGCGGAGCGGCGCGGCTGCACCACGTGAATGAGATTCCGGTAGGTGCGCACGTAAAAATCGTGCAACGAATCTAACAGGTTTGCTGGGGTCCTTGCGAGGCCACCGGGACTGGTCTAACCTGCCCTGTGCAGCCGAACTTCGAATTTCCGATCGTTTCCTATCACGTTTGCCTCGAATCAGTATATGTAAACACACGAGCTTGTTTACATTAGCAACTCATTCAAGTTACCCATAATCTGGAAGTAATCGAAACTTAGTGTTGTGCAACCACTTTGACAAAGCTACGCTGAACTGATATCTCTATAAATAATTAATTGATTACTCTTTCTAGCTGTCAATTGTTCGAGCCATTTAGGTTTCGCAAGTTGCCTACTCCTTGTGTATTTGTTTGGTGTTGAGTATGCAATGAACAATTCAATGGAGCGATTAGAAAGTATTGCGCACAGCTGTCACGACGATGAAACGTATGCTAGAGCGGAACGGATGACTTCGGCAAAGGGTTGGAGAAGCCTTGGTAACGCAAACAATGCATTCGACACGGATATTGCACGCACGACTTTTCTGAGACAACTTACAAAATCACTTGAGGTAAAGCTCGACATCCTCTTACAATAGGACTATCTTCTAGGAAGCTATACCTGAATGGTTCACTCTGTCAGAAAAGTCAAGACTGTATAAAGTGAAAGCTCTTGTATGAAGTTGTCTCTATGAATATGAATTTCGTGCTCGATCGCGTCGGAGACATTGCGGGATGGATTTATCGGAGGTGTACAGAGTATACAGCGAAACGATCAGTCGGCGGCGGCGTGTTTCGAAAGGCGGCGCTCGTCCACGTCCACGTCCGGTGACGCGTCCAACTATCGATCATTCGGTTCGTTAATAAATAACACGTTGGCGTCGCTCGCCGCTTATCTGCTGCTCGGGCATGTGGAAAAATTTGGTGTAGGTGTCGTAACGGAGCGGCACGCATGTCTCGTAGGGTTGCGTGCGCCCGCCTGCCGAGCTTATCCTCTCCGGTTGATGCCTCTCGCTGCTCGTGGCTTTAATTATCAACCTCTTAATTAAAATCATAAAACCAATATTATGAAACTACTGCATCATACATTTATTTTATACAACGCATTAATAGAAACGCCTGTTTGTAGAATCATTAAAGTTATGGACACGGATCAGGTCTAATACACACTTAAATAAAAAGCGCTACCTGAATCTAATCTCGTCTACACAACGAAGCAAACTTTCACGTAGATCTATTTAACCTGTCTCGTGAACACTAACCTCACGTAGACATACATATATATATCCCTAAAGGTAGTTGTCGCAGTACAGATATATTGAATCATGCGTGGCGGGCGGAACAAGCCGCGCGGCTTCACCTCGCTCACCCGGCAGGTGCAGTACCTACCTACCTTCAAGGGAAAGTGCAGGGTGCGGCTCAAATCTACGCATGTTTTATCATCGATGATAAGAGAAACTAGTACCTATCGCAACTAACGACTCATTACCAACGAGAACCGAGATGTGATAGAAACTGATGATTGAAACGATTACTTTTCATTAGCCCGTAAATTACATGTTAAGTGGAACCTCCTCGTATGTCGTGTATGTGAACATGTTTACGTAATTGCTAATGTTGTTTTAATTAAAAATTGCTTCTTATTAAAACAGTATAGAAAAGCTTCAACAATAATAGACATTTTATAAACTATCTGCGGCTACTTAGTTATTACCAAAAGTTTGGCAATTCTTTAATCAAATTCTGTTAATAATAATGCAATCGTAGTTAAATTCCGATTATTTCTAATAGTTCCTTAAATATTAACATAATAACTTTGGATTACCATTAACCATAAAGATCCAAACGTCATACTAGTACACTTATAGGGCTGCGTCATTAATAATCCATTTTGTATTCCCACATTAAAGCTAACGATTCGCGGTGGAATGCAACTTCGCTGCATTTTGTCAATTAAAGAATTCGCTGGCTTGGATTGTGGGCAGCGCAGCGCTGGACGCACACTGTTATGGCAGCACAAAAAATGTACATTCTTCATACCAGTATAAATAAATAAGGGATGAGTACAGGGAGCAGTGAGCGCGAACGCAGCCACTCCGAGCAAAACTAAACGAGGAGCATTTTCGACAAACCTCTTTTTGCGGCCTGACGAGGAACGCATATGCGATGATTCATTTACGGAGTTCTTCACCGTACAAGTATGGCCAACATTATTACTTCTGTTTTCTTGGCAGCATTATGTACGGTCGACAAGAAACGTTTTCTCAGAAATATGCGCCCACGCAGATTAAAGATGGAAACGCAACATGGGCACTAAATAAGTCATGTCTCCTGTCTGCGTAACTAGTAGCATTCAAGTCTGAAAATTTAACGTTTCTCTATAATTACGCGCTGAAGCTTACAATTACCAGCCCTAAATAAGCAACAATAGGCTGCGATCTACATAAATATTTAGAATATAGGAATGCATGAACGCCACAACGAGTGCTTGGATTCGTATCTCGATTGAAATCATCAACTGCCTGTAAATAAAAGGGGTAGTATTGATGCATTGAATATCTACCTTTGTTTGGAATAAATACTCTTTATTGGGCAATGTCATAAATACACATTGTATTGTGAAGTTTGTTTCATTGTTTACTTTCTATTCATAGACATCTATACCGTTATTTCTCATATCTCACCTAATAACAAGAATAAAATTTAATTTTAATTTGGTTGACCGTATTTCACACGTCTTTATAGAGCGTACACGTAACATTTTATTCAAAATGTGACATTTGGCATGAAATAAAATTAAATTCAGAGCGCATAAAATTGTTATACACAATTCTTTTTAAAACCGTTGAGTGACCGTTGAGTGACAACGCCGAGTAGGTTGAATGCGACGTTAACTCGCGATTATAAGAAGTGTTCTTTGTATTGTGTGTGCTCGGTCGCGCGGTCGCTGCGATACGCGCCGGCCGGCCGCGTGAGCCGTCACACACATCACGATCAATACACGCTTCAATTACAAAGGAGAATAATTGTTGCAATTGAAAAACTTTTCAGATCACTACATTATCTACTACGATTTTTGAAGTCCGTTTTAGGAAACCAACACATGCATAATATTTACTTACTCACTAAGTTGGTCAAAGTTAGAGCAACTAACACATATCTTAAACTTATAAATAAAGTCTAAAACACACAGTTAGCCTAGTTGCATAAAAAATGCAACAAAATAATAAACGTGAATACATCGATAATGTAGGAGACAATTTGTGCCATTTAGCATTGAGGGTAAGTGCGGAAATAGAGACGGCATCGAAGGCCGCCTGCGCCTGTCTGCGACGCATAAGAACACGTTCATAATTACTGCACCACCGAACATGACAAAAAATGAACGAAGCACTTATAATCGATCATTTTAAAACGATTCTTTAACAACCATTTAATAATAAATAAACTACCCTTTAACTAGCGTACGAGGTAAATATTATTAGGTTAACTGGAAATTATAAAGAAGTAAATTAAAGAATAGTTCCAACTACTAGTGGGCACATAAAAATATATGTCTAATCTCCTTAGCGGTGGAGAGACGGGACGTATAATGTTTCGGTATTACTACAAATCAAAATGATATATACAATCGAAGTTGCACGCATTAAGCTCTAGTTAAGCTAGCGTAAAGTGTCTTATTAGAAGAGTTACGAGCTTGGAAAGAAGGAACGCCCGCGGCGCCCGCTCCTCTCTAAACCCAAAATAAATGCCTCGTTTCCGTTTTGTCTGACTTTTCTAATTTGAATGCCGTGTGTGGTCCATGTTCGTCGAGAAGGCGTTACTTAATAGCTTGTACAGCCTTTATTATAAATCAGAACTACGGTTAGTATAAATCTGTGAACAATATA